ATATATATATATATATATATATATATATATATATATATATATATATATATATATATATATATATATATATATATATATATATCTCTTTTGTTCATTATAGTTGCAATATGTATAGTATATAGACGTATACATATTGACACGGTCAAGAATAAACGAACTCGTTTCACCTCAATTTATATTCAAATCTAATTCATAAGTTACTCATCGATTGATTTAGTAGATTGATACATGCGTCAGACGTTAGAGTGTTGAGTCTTGGCTCAGACCGAAATTTTATTTTATTTTTTCGAAAGAAAATTTTAAAAGAATTAAAAAAAAATCGAGAATTGAATTATAATTTATATCTATTTTTTTAAGAAATTAAAATTAAATTATATATCATTTGATTAGGAAAATTAAGAAAAGATGTATATATAATAAAATAAGATAATAATATATTAGTGGGAAGGTCAATTCCGATATACCGATGGTGATAAAACAAAAAGCAAGACAAATAAACAGTACACTTACAATTCATTCCGGCTGTTTTCCGATCGCCGGTTCAAAATAGCCGCCGCAGTTCAATCTTTTCCGCCCCCGCCCCCGCCCCCGACAGCGACCTCCGTCATAGGGGAAAAAACGAGCATTCATTGCGAATTTTTATAGTTAAATCTGCACAGAGTTAGGGCACAGAGTAGAGGGGAGTGCACAGAAATAGGTCAACAAAACCCAGCGCGGCGGAGCGTGGAGATAGGAGGATGATAACGAGATCGAAGCTGGCGGAGCAGCTGAGAGAGTATCAGATTCGATCCAAACACGATTGGGCTTCCGTTTCATTTTTCTCATCCTCCTCCAATCTCGCCTCTTCGAGGTATTCATTTCGTTCCGCAATCGCCTTATTTTGTGATTAATTACTCATTTCTTTGTCAATTATAATGTGAAATTACTCAATTGGGATATTTAGGCGAAATTGAATTTGCGTGTAAGACTTGTATGCAACCTTCAAGTTTTTTATTGACTTCTTAAGGATGGGATCGTTAAGCATGCCGAATAAAGATCCAATTTTTTTCATGTACAATGATTTGCATTAAAAAAATGGTATTATACTTGTCAAAAAGTTGCTTCAGTACATGTACATGGGTGAGGTTAAGTAAAATTTCAGTTGCTAGGAAGAAGTCTCTGCAGATTCAAGAATAGGAAGAGAAACCTGGGGGCTGTGAATGATGTAATTGCAGTAAAAATCGTAATAATTGAGTCAGCCAAGTCGTTTTAAAGTTGATTTAAGGGCAAAACAGGGTTCACGTTAATTTGCAACTATCTGAAAAGAGTATATGTTTGAACAATTGGTATTGATTATCAACCGATTGATAAGGGATTACGATAGCCCTGGCGATAAGCATAACTTGCTGATAAGCATAACTGTTGTTTGAGACCATTATTTCTCTTAAGTACACTGACGCGACTGACTTAAAGTTAGATCGATTGCATTCGGCATATATAACTATTTCAGTAATTCTGATGTTGTTGGTCATAAGTCATGATGAGATGGATCTAGATATCTGATATTGCTGTGTTGAACTTGTAATTGTTTTTGACATTGTAATCCCAGCAGAAATTTTAATATGTTAATATGCTTTGCCATTTTGATGATAATTCTTGTTTTGCTAAACTTAATTCATTTCTTTTTTTGTATTAGGGTTGACACTGCGATCTTTGTCATATGGGAGCTTGTCGTTTTAGCGTTGTTTGTTTTCTCAGCCGTTTCACTATACTTTAGACATATAAGGCTCGCAGTTCTTTTGTTATCTATCGCACTGCTATTGCTTCTATGCATGAGAGTCACAAAGCAAGTAAAACTTGCTCGGAAGAAGCAGCGAAGGATGCTTCTCCCATTATCTATGTAAACTGTTTTCAAAAGCAAACCAACTCTCTCACACAAGATTGCTGAGACTTTTGGGTCAGTTTCTTTACTTAGATTCTTGGTAAATGTAATTTCTCAGGAAAGCGCGCTAGTTATGTCCTAATCAAATATATATAAGATTTTTCGGTTCTATTGGTACATACATTAGAATTTTGTCTGCTTTTATTTACTTATTGTGGCTTGAAGAAGTGGATTGGGATTCCTTGTGTCACTATCGACCATATAGCACCAAAGACGAGGAGAACACTGAGGGCCATTCCGAGAGTGCCAAGTGTCCAGTTCAGCCACCACATTGCGCTCGACTTTTCGGGTTTCTTGATCCTAATCCACATCAAGCAGGGGTACGCTAGAGTGACAGGCAAGGCGACCCCACCGATAAGCCCAGCAAGATTCTTCAAGAAGGGGAGTGCGACGGAGATGAAGAAGGCGAGGCAGCCAAAGAATATTCTCAGGCCCGTTCTGAGCCACCATGGGCAAGGCCCGTTTTGTTTGCTGGTGTATCGGAACTCGAGATTGTCGAAGACCGGCATTGCGTATATCTGGAATGAAGTGAGGCTGTTGATCACAACGAATAGGCTTGTGAAACCTAGTATCACCTTTGAGGTTTCGTTCCTGTGGTATTGGTCTAGTGCACTCAACATCCCTCCATTTGTGGGTATCTGAAAGAAATTCGAGTTTTCATCAGATTTGCCCTAAGCTTCATAGGCTAACCTGTCCCGTAGCAACTTCTTTTTTTGGGCCAAATTTCAGTACAATTTCAAAAGAAAGTAAAATAAAAAAATATTACTAATAAATATAAATAAAAAATATATATTTTATTTTTACAAGAGGAATTTTATTTTACAAGTGTTTATACTACATAAACAAGGGGTGGGAGTTGGAATGAAATTTTCGAATTCCACTGATAACGATCAGAATATTTTTGGTTTTGAAACAATATTTTTTATTCCGAAAGTTCTAATTTTTTATTTCTGATTTTTCCGAACTATTTTGAAACAAAATTGGAACTATTTGAACAGTTAAAAAGTATTTAGATTTTTTTCGGAAAATTTTAACCTATCCGTTCGATTTTCACCGAAAATATCGACTTACCAAGTTCCCGTATGCCCAATAACCCCCAATAGCCATTGGAAACAAGCAAAAGGCAATAATTATATACGAAAACTTGACTCCTTTCCACATTGGCACACTCGATGGGTTCTTCATAGATGAAGGCATGGTCCCCTGCAAAACAATAAACAAACTACATATAAATTCAATCTTCTTTAATTAAATTAAATAAACAAAAAATAATTATTTTCTGACCTGGATTTCCAAGACAAGATTGTGGCCCCTAAAAGCAAACGCAATAATCCCGAGAGCGTTCAAGACGCCGCAAATATTCTCAACGTCCGATTCTGTCCTAACGGGTGCGTACGAAACACCCGGGGGCCTAGTCGTGGAAACGGAGAGGGTCCACGTGAGGGTGCAGTACGTGACGGCAGTGATTGCTCCGATCAGAGAAACTCCGGCGATGGAGTTGAGGTTCGGGAGCTGAGACAGGACTGTCGCCGAGCAGACAAAGACGACGTACCACTCGATAGTTGAGAGTGAGTTTGCATTGCAAGTTGCACCACACACTGTGTGGAAGAATATTTTTAATGTGCTTCCTCCCATCATTATTAAGCTCACGCATGTTCCACCTGCTAGGTATAGTGTTGGAAACAAGGCCAATATTTTTCCCAACCTTTCCCCTAATAAACAAGAAAATAAAATATAATTAAATGCAATTCATATATGCAAAATTCATGTGATTTTTTTTTTTTTTGTGTGTGTGTGTAATTAGACCTAATATCGGGGGAGATTTGTGTAATTTAAAGATGCTACACCTGGTTATTTACATTGGTTGGATTTGAACAGTAGATATACACATAATCACACACAGTCATGTGTATGTGATCTTAGTGGGTAGTTATGTAAATCTACGATTCAAATGCACCGGTGTAAATAACCAAGTGTAGCGTCTAACTCTCCTCTTTAATTAGTTGGGTATGTTGGTGAAATCACTAATAATACCAAAAAACCACGTAAATATAATCAAGAAACGAACGATAATCGAAGTCTATAAATTATGAAATATAAAAACAATTACCGAAAGCAGCTACGGAGAGTCTGAGGTATCGACTGTATCGTGTTCCGGGAACTGCTTCGTGGAGTTGGATTAATAACCATAAAGTGTATAATTGCCACACAAAAGCCAATGACAGGCTTATAATTCCCCACACCCTGAAAAATAAATTTGAATTTTTTTTTTTTTTTTACCCAAACAAGGCCTTACAATTATAATTACAATATAATAAAATCACTTACCAACCAAGAGTTGTGAAAGCAAGGGGAAGAAGAAGGGCCTGGAATCCGATTCCGGAGCTGAGCGTGTGGAACGCGGCGTAGTAGGCATTCCCATTCCGGGATTCGGTGATGGGCAGCCATGAATCTTGTGGGTCAAGCTTTGTGAGATGACCCATTTCTTCGAGATAAGTTTGCATGCTTGCGATAGCCTTTTTCATCGGGCTTGCTAGAGGGGTCATCATTCGGGCCAACGGGCTTTTCGGCGTCTTTGGAATGGAATTGACGCATGGCGATGGGGTTGCCGAAGTTATCGACGGAGATTCCGTTGAAAAGATTAACGACGGGTTTGAGATGACCGGGCTTGATGTGTTTATAATTTCCATTATGGGAATGGGAATTAGATAATTGCATATACGTACAGTTTGTGTATGTAGTGTTAGGCTGTCACTCTTTAGATTTATATAGAGGTGGATTTATGTTGGTTTTCTGTTTTTTTTGGCGTGGGGGCCTTTCTTTTGTATGATATAGACTTGCACTTGAGAGTTGAGACCCATATGTTTTTTTTTTAAATAAATAATAAATTTTATTGTTTATAATTTAATACAAAGTAATTTTTTTTTTCTTTCCTAAATTGGTATTTAATATATTTGTCACAAGGAATTTATAAGTGTGGAGTTTGATGTCACGATTATTTAACTTTGAAGTTTGAACCAAAACAAAGGCATTTGACTAACCCCACTCTGGCTGCTGTTTTTAACACAAAAGTTATTTATTATTATTATTATTATTGTTTTTTTCAAATAAATATATATATAGAAGAAAATAAAATAATGTGCATGCCACGTGGTAAAATGTGTTTGGTTTCGTACTCATGCACACACCATGCAAATTGGGGAAATGAAATTGCGTCTTGAGATACTAACCTTTATTGGATTATCAAAATCTAAAAGTGCCCACTTATTCAAATTTAAAGTGGGGATTGTCTTGTTTGATGCTTTATCCACAATATTTATTGGATATAATTTTTAAGCTTTTTTTACTATATTAAAGTTGACCGATTTGATTGTATGTATGGATATAGGTTTATGTTTATTTGATTTGTGTGCATGTAAATTAGTGACTCGTTTGGTTGTCAAAATATTATTAACTAAGATAAACTTAAGCAATCTTATCAAAATTTATTTGTAATTGAACAAAAGGAGTCCTATACGCAGATCACTAAGATACGAGTTTATTTTCTTAGTATTGCGATTCAGCCCAAAAACTAAAAAGCATCGGATTAAAATTTAATTATTTAATTAATCATGGCTAATTTTACTAATTGAGGAGGACGGCCGACAATTTTCATGAATTTTGAATAGTAGCCATAGGAATTAAATTAAAGAAGGCCTTTAATCACTTTGATTATTGAAGTTAAAGGTGTGCATGTGTGAACATACAATAGTGCTCTTTAGAATATATAGTAATTAGTATAGTTGCTTTAATCTAAGTAGTTAAGTGCAAGGAAATTTCTCAAAATACCCCTTTAACTACAATCTTTAGTATAATAAATTGAGAATTATAGCATATATGAATACTTATACTGAATATCCTGTCAGAAGGGCTTTATTTTTTAATTATAAATGAACCGAACTTTCTTGCTATGTACATGCTATTTTTTTCGTATAGAAGGGGTGTGCTAGGTAAACTTACACTATCATATATATAATTAATAGTTTGCAAGCTATACGAGAGACGTAATCCACGCTAGGCTAACCATGTCTAATATAAGATTATAATTTATATATCCTTAATAAATTAATATCTATAAAAGAGGCACTTTGGATCTTGTTTAAAGAGTTTCAATCCTTGTATATAAGGCACTAGCCAAAACTACTTTTGAAGCAAAAAATAATAAATAAATAAAATAAAAAAATTAATGCACCATGGCTGCTGACATGTGCAATGATGCCATTGGCTGACGCCATTAACGAACATTTACCTAGAAAATACAACCTCAAATA